ATAAATCAGGTTGTATGCCAGTGAGCATAAATTAGTAAACTGCCAGACAGTGACAGTTACATTTTGGGATTATTTCTGCTGCTTGTCTGTAATAGAAAGGGACTGGATACAAAAAAGCCAGAAGGTCCTTTTCATTGCCGTGTTCTCATTTCTAGTGTAATGTTACAAAATGCTTAAAATCTCTCCCTGTTGCACCCTTTTCCAACCATCCTGGCTTTCTGCCACCTCAGGTGTTGTGTTATTTCAATGCAGTTGTTACAGTGTCATTTATGACCTCTTTCTTCTGGCCACAGAAAGATGCAAAAGATGACTGTAACTTTGTGTGACAGTGACACAGCACTGACATTTACTGCTACTAATCCAGCAAACAGTGCAAGATGTACTTTTGTAAGCATAAATTATTAATGACTTTTTCATTCCTCTGGGATGACTGAAATTCCTTTTCTGTAAATACCCTCTGTAGCTGCAAATGTGTGTGCGCTTGGGGCCCATGACTGTGAGCAGGTCTGTGTGAGCAACAGCGGATCCTACCTTTGTGATTGCTATGAAGGCTATGCTCTGAATCCAGATAAGAGAACCTGCTCAGGTATTACTCCTTTAGTAAATATGCTCAACTAGAAAAATATCACTTTTTAGCACCATAATGGATTTGAGAAGCTACTTGTGTATTTCTGTTGAAACTGTGACCATCTGTATCTTCAATAATAAATAAAACTTTGCTGCAAGTAATGGTGAGAAATAGTTTGATTCCATCACCATTCTTTTTATTATGCCTACAGATCCATTCATTAGGGCCAGATGCCAAAACAAAGTCTTCAGATGTAGACACTGTATAGATATTTTCTCCTACCAGTTATTCTAATTCTTTTAATTACTACTGCCATTTCTGAGCTGATTCCAAATCAAAATATGTAAAAAAAATGTGAATATGCACTACATCTCAAGCTACTTCTTACTAACAGTGACTTGTTTTTTTTAACGTGTGTTTTACAGCTGTGGACATGTGTGCACCTGGAAGGCATGAATGTGATCAGATCTGTGTGAGAAATAATGGATCCTATGTCTGTGACTGCTATGAAGGCTACACCCTGAATTCAGATAAGAAGACTTGCTCAGGTAAGAATTAAAGGCTATTTTAATACATGAAACTCATGGAGACATGGTTGTTTGAGTTACATTTCTTTTTTCTAGTTGAAAAATTGCTTACCTTAAAATGGGAATTCACCTGGAGCCTTTCCCCTTGGTTCGAATAACAATAGCATTTTATTTTTCTTTAAATGCATTGATTAAAAAAATGCAATGTGGCACTTACCTACCATTTTATGATCTTCACAGTACTTCATAACCTTAGTCCCTGTGAGAGAATGAACCCTCTTGTAGATGCTCTCCAGCACTGTGTCTCCACTGGAGAGTTAGTGCCATTTGTCCATAGAGAACTTAAAGCCTGATAATCTTCTCATGTCCTCTCCATCTTTCCTGTTGAAACTCAGGGGGTTTTACAGTTTGCTGCTTCTGCTCCCAGAGTTGTGCTGGGCTTTGCTATGTGGCAACCCTAGTCTTACACCGGCAGCAGCTTCTTCCTTTCCTACTCCTTGAATTGGCACCCTGAAAAAATAGCCTATTATAAAAACTTCTTTTCCTCCAAATACTTCTCTTATTTGTTTCTTTTAATCCAGAAGTTTTGAGCAGCACCAGCCTTAGGGTAGCTATTTTATAACTGGTAAGTGCATCTCTCCCTTTGAGAGCACATAAGCATTCTTCTCACTGAAGTTTTCACTCTGGTTTCTGAAGAGAGAACATAATCTTCTAATGCTCCTGCTTATTTGTGTGTTTGGTTTTTTTTCTCACTAGGCTTTTTATCTCTCTGCCATTTAATAGCATTTCTACATACCTTGCCTGTTTTTTTGTGTGTGTCTTCAGCTCATGGATGAAAAGTATGAAGTTAAATTTGGATTCACCATAGTTACTGCTAATATTGCAAGAACCAACTTCTGCCCTGGCACATAGCAAGTTATTGCTCATCTCAGTATGGGGTTTTAGCTTCATCCTTACTGGGCATATTCAGCTCTGTTATAATTGCTCATGAAAATCAGACTTGTGTGAGACGTGGTGCAGTAATGTCTTGCAGTCCTGGTATCTGCCTCCTCCATTAAACAATTAGTAACTGAATTTAGTTGTCTGCAGCATAATATAATAATGTAGTAGGGTGCTGGCTGAATCCTAATTTGAATCCTAATTAAATTGTATTTATAAATGTTGAAGCATTAAAAATGCTTGAGTGTCTGGGAGTGATAAATAGTTTTTTTTTCTGAAACATGGTTCACCACAGCCATGGACATGTGCGCACCTGGAAGGCATGACTGTGCACAGGTCTGTTTGAATAATGATGGATCCTACAGCTGTGACTGCTATGAAGGATACACTCTGAATGCAGACAAGAAGACTTGCTCAGGTGAGACCTGATTAAGGAAATACTGTGTTCAGCTAAAAGCAAGTAGCTCTTGAAAACCAGGTTAATTTATGTTATTTCTCTGGTAAATTATCCAAGTGTTTCTCAACCATACAGGTCTTTGTGATGTAAAAAAAAATAGTCTAGGTCCAGGAGGGTCTTGACTTTTCCTTTTTTAATTTTTCTTTCTCTTTGTTCTTTCTTTCCATCATTCTCTCTTTCCTCGTGCCTTACTGGACCTCCTTACTGCAAAGATGTCCAAATATAGGAACTCCCTCTCAACTTGCCCTTTCAAAGTTGATGTGTTAAATTTGGCAGAAATTATCAGCCTCACACATAGGGTGCCCACTTTGTAACTGGCAGTGGGTGCCACATCTCTTTTTTTCAGCAGCCATGTGTACACTTCTGTTTACAGTATTTTCACTCTGTAAAACAGTGTCTTATACAACCCAATTAAAGCTGAAATCATGCCAAATAATTTCTTAAAATCCAGTTATTTGTTCTCTGAAGTTCCTGTGGATAATTATTTTGCAGCTGGGTCACTGCTAATTCAGTTCATTTTGCAATCTGTTATAACTGCAAAACAGTGTTGCCAATATTCCAAAAATTGTATTAATTTTATGATGCTGATTTCCAGATGAAAACACTGTTTATTTTCCTTGCTATGGCTAATAGCATGCTGACATGCAATGAAAACATCCTGCTTTGATTCCAAATGAATATATGTTTGCAAAAGGGAATTACTAACACCAATTTAAAAATCTAAAGATTTGGGTATTGATTAATATTCTTTTATTCTCTTGTGCCTTCCTCAGCTGTGGACATGTGTGAACCTGGAAGGCATGACTGTGATCAGGTCTGCGTGAGAGATGATCTGTCCTATACCTGTGACTGTTACCAAGGCTACACCCTGAACCCAGACAGGAAGACTTGCTCAAGTAAGAGCAGATTGCTGTTCCATATCCCCCATACCCTCCCCAGCTCAATATATATATTGAAGTAGCTCTCATTAAAAGGTTTGGATCTGTTTAGAAACTTTCACATGCATTTACATGTTACAAGACAGTTCTGTGTTACTCTGCCTTTACCACTTTGAGCAACATTCAGAGATACAAAGCACTTTATAGGCAACAATGCTAGTAACTGCTTACCATTTGGTCTTTATCATCTTACAATTAAGGCCTTCACTATATATAAAAAAAAATACTATGCAATATTCAGGAAGCCCAGAACTGAGACATAATTAAAAGAGAGAAGAATTGGGGTTAGCCACACAGTAAAACACTTTGCAGTACTGTGAATCTGTGTACCACCATGCAGGAGACAGTTTGATGTGATGTCCTCCCCTCCCAACTGAATTTCATGTTGCCATTTGTTTCTTTAGCTTCTCAGCGACTTTGTGTCATAGTAAATATGCAATCATTTTAGAAGGTTTCTTTCCTTCCTGGTCTCCTGGCTAAAGTTACTTAGTACTGGAAACTTTTCCTAGCATGCCTTTGGAGGTGATCTGGCACTTCACATCTGGTGAGGCCAGGCAGCTGCGGTCCGACTGAGCACAGACTGTACAAAGTAAGGGCTGAGGAAGACCCCAGTAAGGCAATTAGTTCATCTCACTGCTCCAGGGCAAGATCAGTTACACATCTCAGTAGTTCCTAGTAAGATTCATGTAGGATAGGCTCCCACATGGAAAACCGTTGCCATTGGGAAGCATTAAAAAGCTGTTAGCCTGTTTTTGGATAACTGCTTCCCCAAAATGCATTCTGTAGGAACCGATGTATCTGCACCTTAAAACCAGATGAGAAAACACCCTCAATTAATAATTTAATGTTTTGGGTTGGTTTGTTTTTGTTTGTTTGTTGTTTGGGTTTTTTTTTTATTTCGCCTGAATGTATTTACTGAAGTACCTCTGTTTAATGTATCAAATCCTTTTAATCTGCTTGAGAAGCATTCCATCAACTCACAAACTCCCTGAAAAGTATAACCCCTTTTCATTCTTTTCTGCCTGTTTCCACTAATGTTTTGAGCTAATTTGATCCTTCTTGTATAGCAGTTACTGTATTTAAAACTACAGTTGACTCTTACCTATCACCACACTTTTAAGGACTTCACTGTATTTAAAAAATATATATAATCTGTTATAATCTGCAGTTTCTTATGAAATGGGAATACTTGGGGGGACTGGCAAAGCAAGGCTCTGGGGCCTCTGTCTCAATTGTGTACCAGCATTTGGAGGATGGTGGGGAGACAGAGAGGAACAGAACTGGTGTCAGAAGAACTGCAGTGCCAAACCGTATGTTCTTGTCCACTCCTCCAAGATGAGTGGGGCAGGCATGAATGCACCGTTTTTCCTTCAGATAAGCAATACTGGCATCAGCTATTGGCAGAATCTCTCCACCATTTGATGCAGAATCATAGTCAGACTGGAAGGGACCTCAAGAGATACCTAGTACAATTTCTGGTTCAGAGCAGGAATAACACCAAGTGGCTAAGAACCCCATGTAAGAGCAAAGTTATAAAATAGGTGTATATAGCCAAACACCATCTGCAAATATTGTAATTTTTAATAGGTCTGGACTTAAACATAAATGCAGTTTAAAAACACGATTCTAGGATGTTTAGTATGACTTGCTGGGCATCCCAGTGGCAACAGGAGTGTCCAAGATTTTGAATATCAAATACTAGAAGACTCCACATTTCACAGAAGGACTGTAGAAGACTTCAGGGTACCCTTGGGCATTTGCCAAGGTTGGCTGGAAAAGTAATTTTCTTAAAACAGACATAATCCAAGGAGGATCTGGATCTGGATCTGTCATTGGAGAATTTAATTGCAAACAGAAAAAAACCTTGGTAGTTGGTTGGAAACTAACCATGTTGGTGTGATATTTTGAACTGGCCTTCCTCCAGCTGACTCCTGAACAGCTCTTCTTTGTACATTGACCATAAAGCCTGTGAAACATTCCAAAGAAGGGAGCTGAACAAATACCAGTTCAGTGGAATCAAGGAGACACCAGTTTCAACATTGGCTCTAAGACAAATTAATTTCTCCACTGCTAGAAATGAATCTGTTCATAGATTTTGCAGTTTCCCTGCAAAATGAAAGTATCAATGGCATGGTTGAGAAACAAAAAAAGAGGCCCCCAAAATTCAGAAATAAATAAATAAAAAAAGGCAAGAAGTTGTATCCAGGTATAATATTTCTATTGTTTTACTGTTACAATGCTCACATTATTTGTTTGGCATTTATCAGCTATGCATTTATATACTTACAGAAAAAAATAACTGAATAACCTGCTGTTATTGCCTTTGGAGGCAATGTAAAAAAACCCCATGTATAACAAGACAGATTTTACATGCAAGTAATACCTCTTTATAACTTGTTAAAAGGGTATTTCATACTTGTGGGTCCTCTTTTAAGAAGGCTCTACCTTTGGAAACTTAATATTTTGGTCTCAGATGTAGATGGTAATCTCACTACAGTACTTGTGCTTCCGTGGCTGTTGATATGTTTGTTATAAGCCTGCAGCAAGTCGTGCAGCTTAACTCCTATTTTATTTATAGAGTAGGTGAGGTTAAATTGCCTTTCATGTAGCTAAGAACTCAGAGTCATCAGCTGATGTCTGACATCATAGCACAATGAAATTATCATCTTTGCGCCCTTTGTGATCATCCCTGGTCTTGTGGTGGATTATGGAGAAAAAGGAATTCTTCAGTACAGCTGAGGCTGGTCCCCTGTAAGTCTGGAAAACTGAGGGCAAGACCTAGGAACAGATTCAATAGAACCACTGTGGAGCAGGGCTATGCTTGCTTTCTCTTTCTTAAGAGGCTAATGACTTCTCTGTCATACTAGCTGGCTCCTCCGTTAATATTGCAGTGCCTTTCTACTAGATTTTAAATTCATTTGGGCCTGTTTGAAGGGGTTGTTCCCTCTATCCATATTCATGTGACATTAGACTGTACACATCCTCTTGAAGCAAAAATTATACTCCCTATGCATGTACATTGTCAACGTTACAAACCAAAAGTACTTGTGGGGTCATATACATTGATAATCTAGCTGAATCTCTATTGCTTAGTATTTTCAATGAATACATGCGATCCTGCTTTCATTTTTGTATAATTTACCAGTGGTAAACTAAATTCTTCTAATTTCTTCCCAAGCTGAGATTTCAGTATCTAAATTCTACCTACATAGAATCATAGAATAGTTAGGGTT